CCAGAGGCCCAGGCGGGGCGCGCGCGGCCAGCGGCCCAGCAAGAACAGCTGACGGCCCAACGACCGGGAGTGGCCAGCCGACGTGTGGACGAGCCCAGCACGCTGGCAACTTGCATAAACGTCCCTGAACTTTCTCTAAATCAACTAAGCATTTTCTTGTAAATTTATGAGTCTAGCATTTTTGTAAAATGAACACGGTAAAATATTCTATTTGCGTTCAAGTCATTTTCTACCACAAAACAGAGCATCGCAGGGCAGAGGAACCGGCCGAGGTGGTGCTATCGCAGAGCGACGCGATACACGATGGCTACGACGCTGTGGGGTGGCTCCTCGGCGCCGGCAGACATGGCGCTGCTCGTGCCGAGGCAGGGCATAGTGGCCTGGCAGACGCAGACGTGCACACCTTGGCGGCGCGGACCAAGGCAGGGCATGGCCCGGCGGCCACGTGAGGCCACAGCAGGAGCGGCGGCCATGGCGCCCTGCGGTGGCGAGCCATCAAGGAGGAGGAGGACGCGGCCTTGAATCGGCCCCGGCGTGGTCATCTGCGCGGAGGCGAGTCGGTGCCGTGGGGGATGGGTGACGCCGACATGGAGTGGCACTGCTGTAACACCTCGGTGTTAAGCATGCATTAATATTTTGCAAATTGTGAGCATAATCCTTATTATGCATTCATAAGCATGACATGAAATATAGAATTAAAACATACTAATGAAACATGTATGTTGCATAGTTTTGTTTTAATAGATTGGATGCTATGTTTGTTTTGCCATGTGTGTACCTTGGTTGATCACTTAGACCAATTAGAAGTAACTAAGATGCAATTTGGAGCAAGGTGTATATTCAAAGTTTTCTCAAATTTTGCTTTTAAAAATAATCTTCTAAAATTGGGTTTTTGATTTAAATTAACTTTAAATCTATAGTTCAAAATCTAATTGGATTTTGGTCATACTCTTTTTGGCAAAGTTGTAGAGTACTTTTTTCTAAACAACTTTCATTTTTACACCAACTTGTGAAAATGCTTCTAAAATGGCTCAAAATGGAATTTTAGTTCTGTTTATTTAAGAAATAAAAAGAAAATCATTTTTATTTTTCTTAGCGGGCCGCCGCCTCCCTTTCGGCCCAGCTCACAGAGCCGGCCCGGCCTGCCCCACACCTCGCCTGCTCGCTCGCGCCCGCGCGCTCCCGCCTTGCCCTTGCCCACGCCCGCTGCGTGGAAGCCGCTCACCGACGGCAAGGGGCAGTGCCCGCTCCGACCGGCCATGCTCCGCCTTCAAGGCTGTCCGACCGCGCGCACGCCACCCCACTCCACACTCCATCCTGTCTCCTCCTCCTTCCTCTCCATTTCAAAGTTCTGTGGGAGCTCTCACCACCGAGCGTCGCTGCTGCTCCGCCAGCGACGTGCCCCTCCACCCGCGCCTCTTTCTTCGATTCCTCTAGTCAACAGCTCCGCCTCGTCAAGCTCCCTCGTTTGCGCCCGCGTGCGACTGCTGTTGTCGAGGTGAGAGGCTGTAGTGGCTGGTCTTCTTCTCCGCTCCGCCATGGCCGAGCTCGCCAGAGCTCGTGCCCGCGCAGGCGACCCGCTCCACCTCCTCTTTTGCCCTTTTGCTCAAGCGCTTCGGCTTCTCTTTGGCACCGCAAGGCGTATTCTCCCCTCGCCTAGGCTTGCCGTGGCCACGAACAGCGGTGAGGCCGCCATGCAGCTCCGCCGCTCGTCGGTGTAGCTCGCTGTGGTGGATAACGCCTATCCACGCTGCCCTTTTCTAGCTTGCCGAGCTCGCGCTGCGAAGAGGAGTCCGTTGGTGCCGGTGGCACCACCGGAAGGCTCGCCGCCGGTGAGCTTTGGCCGGCGGAGCCTCTTCCCCTGCTTCCGTGCGGCTGACTGATGGGACCCGGTCGGCTCCCGGGGCCTAGTTGCAGCGACTGGGTTCGGATCTGGGTGTACGGAACTGGGTGCCCGTAGCATTTTAGATCCGGATTTAAAGAAAATGATTTCTAAAACGATTTCAAAAATTGATTAAAAAGCTTGTAAAATGTATATCTCGAGTTGTATTGCTCCAAAATTGATGAAACAAATTGTTCTAGGTTTCTTGTGATTAGATATATCTGTTAAAAATATTGCATGTCAAATTTGTGATACTTTTCTGTGTAGCTTTATTTAAATTGAATAAATGCAGATTTCTTAGAAAATGTCTAATAAATATAATATACATCAGAAAATATATGGTTCCAGTTTTGTTAATCTCCTTTAGTGATGTACTTTGTAGAAAAAAATATAAGTCAGGCAGGTTTTGTAGAGAAATATTGAGGTGTAGTTCAAGTGCCTTTAATTGATGATTTTTATTATTTTAATAGAGAGCAAAAATTGTATAGAGCATGTGTATGATAATTTTTGTTCAGTTGCTGTTTACTGTGTAGAACATAGGAAAAATACCAAATCTGTTGTTTGACACTTTTCATAGTACAAAGTATTTTCATGCTCATATTTATGCCATAGCTTGTCATTTTGTGTAGGCTATTTTACTTATCCAAATGCCATGAAAATTTTATGGTAGTCTACTTAGAGTAGTATTATGCTACTGTAATTTTCTCAAATGTTTATGAGCACCAGAAATATATGTTGCTGTTGTAGCCCTAGTTTAAAATGAAATGAAATAATCTTCTTTAATGTATGTTTAGTTAATAATGTTTGCTTTGGTGTATGGTTGAAGCATCTTAACTTGTTGTGGTGACTTGGCATGTTAGTACGGTGGTTGTAGTAGTAGTATAGTAGTACATGTTCTTGGATGATGTTGTCTACCTTGTAGAAGAGCTTTAATTCTACTATGTCCAATAAAGTTAAACATGTTCATCTACATTCCATGCATCCTGATCATTACATGTCATCTCTTCGATGCACCTATGCATGAGCACTTATGCATCTACATCATACAGGATCACAGGAGGAGTTGCTAGTAGCAGTTCAGGAAGAGTAGACCGGGACAGATTCACAAGAAGTCCAGGCACAGGAGGTGCAAGAGGAAGAGGAGCAAGGAGAGGACTTATCCGAGTGCGTGGATCATCAACCTAGTTCGTTCGAATGAGGCAAGCCCCGGAGCATTCTAAGTCTCCTAATTTACAAAAGCAATTCTTTCTATATATATGAGTTATATATTGTTGCATTAAGTTGTAGGAGTTGATTGAAACCGTTGATGCATTTATTACTATCCTTGCCTACCTTATTATCTTTTACCCTGTTAGGTCAGGATCAAATAACTGCTTAGCCTTGCTTAGACCGGTCGCGATCGGTGATATCCGGTCACCTACATTATAGGTGGTTACTGGAAGAATTTAGCTATGAAAATAATGATATCCTGGAATTAACCATGTGTGATGGATAATTGGAGACCGGACGGAAAAGTTGGAGGCAACCAGACATGGTTCTGGGGTGCTGTTAGTTTCCGTCTGTGTCGATTAAGGACCGATCGTTGCTCGTCCCTCTTGTCATGTTGAACGCATGCCTCACATTTAGCTGGCCGAATAAAGTACATTTCGACTACGAAGCTAGTGGCACTATTCGGGTCGGGATCTACACGGGTGCGCGTATTGGTGCTGATGGGGATATGACAGGGACGTGAAGAGTGAGCCCAAGGGCAGGTGCGCCCTGATTCCTAGCAGTCGGGCGGTCCCTGGGTACTACGACTCCAGATTGTCCCGCGGCTACCTGAATAGTGTCCTTGGTGATCTAAGCTACCCTGGCAGGGGAAGCATGGTTTATGTGAGGAATAAATCACCAGCTGGTTAGGAATCGATTCAAATCGCCATCGCTCCTGGATAGTGAGCACTTGACTCGAGCTACGGCATCGTAGTAATTATTATGGAATAATGATGGTTATCTGGATGATATGGGATATGCTAAATCTAAATTGGTAACTGGATGTTATTGGTTAATCAAGTGATTGCTATAGTACATGTGCTTACCTAGATGGATAGGTCATAATAAAGATGATGCAAAGTATTTAAAATGATGTCTTCATGATAACTTATGCTTTTCGCAAACAAGTCAGCTAGCCCACTAAAGAAAGCCTTGCATAATCCTTGGTGTCGCTTTATTTTGGTTTAAGATGGGTAAGTCTAGCTGAGTACCTTCTCGTACTCAGGGCGTTGTTCCCATTGTTGTTGCAGATGGTCAAATATACTACGGCTATTGCATTAACTGCCTGTATCCGGCGATGGGTGACAACTAGGACCAATGGCAATGGTCACTCCGTATCTCTCATCTGATGTTTTTGTTGGAGATGACTACCTACTGGCATTGTATCGGAACTAAAAGTGTGTGTGTGGCTTTAAAACTATTTGCTTCCGCTACTGCAGTTTGAACTTGGGTTGTAATAACTTTATATTCTAAACTCTGATGTACCAAACTGTGATTGCGAACTTTATGTAACGTGTGACGCTATTTGCTAAACTTGTACGATCTTGGTTTGTATGTCGATTGGTTTGAAATCCTTCGTGGTTTCATGGACTACCGGGTTATACGGGCTTAAGTTTGCTAAATTATCTGCTTCGGCGGAAGATTTCCTTACTTAATCTCGTATAATTGGTCGGTTCTCCAGCGGTAGAGCAGGGCAGGAAAACGTCCCGTCCTCGCTGTCGATCAGTTCGCTTGCTAGTCAATAATTAAACCACGACAGACAGTTGAACACATGGGCGTCGTGTGGCTCTGCTGGCTGCGGCAGGGCAGGTAAAACGAGCGGCTACGAACGCGCAACATCATTTGTTTTACAAAACCCAAGTTGCGCTTTCACCTACTCGACTTGTACTTCAATTTTTATTAAAACCCCAAACACATGTTCTATATTATTGTTGCTTTATAAAAATCACTTTTCAAATTGACTATTATTTATCGACACAACTATGAACGGGTTTTCCATTTTCGTTCCTTTTCAAACCAATTTTTGAAACTAACAAACATCACAGCAATACCCGAAACAAACATACTAACACACTCATGACGTTCTTACCCTGCTGATGGCATAATTTTTCTACCCGCATTATATATCATTTTAGCTCTCAAATTTTCATTTTCCAAGCCGACTATATATATTTTCAACCATGGCTAAAGCACTAAAGTTTGTTTTAAAATCGACATCCGAGAAACTCGTTTTCGGAAATTTTCTTAGGCCTAAATCTTGGTGCTAAACGAGCTCAAAACACCAGGGGTGTTACAATGGGTTATGTGCATGTGGCGTAGCTTGCTGCGCCAAGCGCGCCAGCGCAGGAGGTGGCTGGCTCTGCCGCCTTTCTCGTAACTCCTCGCCGTGGTCCTACGCACGCGTCAGGGCCTTCGCACGGGCGTCCGAAGGGGTGTGAGTCTACAGAGACTCCACTACCACCGGTGGCTGTCCCGGGGTGTCCGCCATAGCGCACTCCTAGGACAGAGGGTGGCCAGGTGCCACGACGTCGCTAATGCTGGAGTCGTCGCTTTCGACCTCATCATCGACGAGGTCATGAAAGGAGGCGGGAGCGTAGCCCGCCATTTCCACAAACTCAGACGTGAGAGGGGGCGGCGTTAGCATTTTTCAGAGCCCCCGCACGCACGCGTCCATGGGGACACGAAGCCGTAGGGGAACCGGTCGCACGACGATCGCGGTGGGGACAACGGGGTCCCTTTGGAGAGTCGACGGAAGGTGTTAAATAGTGAGTAAAGAACAATATATACATCATTCACCGTGGGGTTTGAGCCCAACATGGGCTCGAGGCAAAGCGTGAGTGTCTCGACGTTGAGGTCGTCGAGTGGCCCAGGGCTAGTGGAGGGCGCTCCTCCTCTAGTGGACGCCGGGACGAGCGCCTCCTCGCGGAGGCAGAGTACGCCGAGCTGGTCGGCGACAAAGTCCAAACTCCTAAAGAGGAAGGTCTGGAGTGGCACGAAGATGGAAGGAGCCCACATCTCATCAAGTGGGAGCGTGGGAAACTCCAGCGAGCCGAAGCGAATCATATAGCTCGAGCGCGCTATGCCAAGATGGTGGAAAGATGGGCCATCCGATGACCAAAGGTGTGAACGCACGTCGTCCTCCCCATGGACGGCACCAAATGTCGGTGCGAAATGTGGCCGACAAGTAAATATTTATAGTTTTGTTGTGCGTTGTGATCGGATGTGGCCTAGCACGCGATGACACATGATTTATACTGATTCAGACAACGTGCCCTACGTCTAGTTTCAGTCGATCGGTGACTTTATTCCTGAGCTTAGGTGCTCAAAGTTTGCTATGGGGTTACAAACGAGTAAAGAATGAGAAGAGGGTGTTAGAGGCTCGGTCGGACTCTGAACCGAATGGAAGAGTCTGACGGGTGCTCTAACATGCGCTAAGTATTGGAGCGTATGCTCTGTGCAGCTGTCGAGTTCTAGAGCCGTTGATCTGTTCGAGTCCTCAGGTCATCCAGTCCTCGAGTCGTCTAGCCTCCTTTTGTTGGAAGAGAGCGTATCCCCTTTTATAAACAAAGGGGATGGCCTTACAAGTCAGAGAGAAAAAGAGAGAGTGTGTACGTGTGCTACCTAGTCTTGTTGCCCACGCTGTCGGATACGAGACGATCGTAGGCGCCCACAATACTGTTTATGTTCAGATATATCTGGCAGGCTCTACCATGTTCGCATGGTACGGCAAACGTCGGCGCCTATAATACTGTTTGTGCTCTGACACGTTCGGAAGGTTGTATAGTGCCCGTCTGGCATGACCTGGTGGTATCGTCCTGCAGGTGCGCAGGGCATGGAAGGGTACGGTCCTCGGTATTGCGGTTGACTTGAGCGTCTTACTTTATCTGCTCTATCTGATCTCCGAGACCTCACCGAGCGGACGTCCCCGGTCAGTCGGTTCCAGTCGGTTCCGACCGTGTCGGTCGGGAAAGAGCAGCGAACAGAGGTCTGGCGTATCCTCGGTCGGAGTCGGACTACGGTCCCACCTTAGCTAGGCCTTTCGATCGGGGACCGGATCGTTGTCTCGGCATGTCGTTATGTATCTTGACCGGCCCAGGCGCGTGTTGTTGCTGCGCCGCCTGCTGGGCCGGGTTTTCAGGGAAGCAGGTTCATTGAGGACGCCGGAATTACGAACCCGACAGGTTGACATGGCCGCGCTACAACGAGCTTTGAGTTCGTACCTAGGGTTGGAAGAAGAAACATTTAGGCCTTTCTGGTTCTAAGGGAAAATCGTTGCCAAACGCGTGTTTGCGAATGGTAGGTGTGTCCGTGAAATGGCGGCGAATAATTTTGCAGCGATTCTCGTTTCTGCTTGTCCATCTTCTCTTATCACCATCTGAATCCTTACAACCAATCAAACAATTTCATCACGTGATTTTACCTCTCTTAAGTAAGTGTTATGATAAATCCAAATCTCATTCCAAAAAAAAAAATCCAAATCTCAAAAGCGCCCTTAGCATAAGAGTAGTGACAGAGTGCTCGCTAGCTGTTCCATGACACGAAGGTGGTCTATGCCAAGGCTTTATCTTGTGAATTATCTGAATCTAGCCTTTAATAAGTGACTATATGTTTGTTGTGACGGATTATTGGCAGTAATAACGAGGGGCACCATCAGCCTAAGTACGACTACAGATGCCGTATCCTCACGTTAACTGCGTGTTCTAGAAATTCTCTAAATAATATTTGACTAGGTAAATGCCAATGCGTTACAACAAGAAAAAAAAATAATACTATGATAGTATAACTATGAATGCGTGTTATACTGTTACAAAAACAATATTTCGAGTGTGATGTTCAGAACATCAATATTATATGAGTTTTCAAGAAGGATGGATAATTAAAATATAAATCAAGTTTTAATGTGAAATTGAAACAATTTAGTTCCTTACAACTATCTATTCTACCACTTCCGGTTTATGATATGCTTAAGATCACTCCTTTAGGAATTAAAATTCTCCTAGAATTTTCAACATAAAGCTTAAGATAGTCTTGCACTCCTTTAGGAATTAAAATTCCCCTAAAATTTCCATCATAAGCCAATAGTTAGATCACAAAGTCATTTCGTATCCTTTAGCCATCCTCATGCAAAGTCAAATATGAAATTAGAATGTGTCCCATATACAATTTGTAGCTTTATAATTTGGAATGGAGTACCTTTTTTCTAAAAAAAGTATGTTGTACTCAGCTTTGTTTTATTTTTATAACACTGATAAAATCAATTACTTTTGTTTTGTAGAATAGAATTACCAAATAAAAGTAGCCACAGTGATTTAGCTTATTTAATCAACCCTAATTTAGAACTGAGCAATATGCGCATAAAGTTGTCCGAACGAAGGAACAAGTAGTTCTATGAACTTGTTAAGATTAGCAAATGTTATAGGTGGGCCCCGTATGGCATTACTATAGAGAAAGTTATAAAGTAATCACATGAATTGTGTAAGAATTTCATAGAAATCAATCCAATTTTACGGAGAACAAATTCCGAGAAGCTGGCACTGAATTAGCTCTGTTTATCGATACAAAATTATTTCATCAATGCTATTATTTCATCAATGCTGAATGGACTTGCAACACCACCTCAACCATGGGTGAGATATTTAACTATGGAGAAACCGATAAATTGGCATTGATTGATGAATGGCTAAATCTAGGCTCCTAGTTGAGAATTGAGATTCCTTCTGTACACTGGCATCAGGACGCCAAGAATATGTTACATATCGGGGTGAGGGGTATACAAATGGAGAGTTAGTGATTTTGGTCCTTAAGTGATTCAGTATGGGAATCCAATACATACAGTACCATCATTTGACACTTGTTAGCATGCCAATTTAGTATGATAAGGAGACTTGCTCCGCCATGTAGGAATAGGGAGAATCTGCAATCACAAAACATGAGATTTTTTTTTAAAAAAAATCTTCGGTATCTTCGATAACTGTCATGTTCAATAAGCTAAAGTTGAAATACAAAGCAGATGCAAGCAAATCCCTGTACATGCTAGATAAATATGAACTATGACAAATAGGTGCATAGCTGCAGGAACCACGCATATAAGACGACATCTAACACAAATATCAGAGCAGAAATTAGATTATTTTTAATTCGCATGGTAAAAAACAATAAATAGAATGATAAAAGAACACCAAGCGAAGGAGAAAATATTCAGAACACCATTCATATCATGAGTCTAGATAAAGGTACGCTGCCCTCCAGGTTCTTGGAAAGAAAGAAAAAAAAACGAATTCTCTATCTTTTAACTCACTGGCAATCTGTCAGTTAAACATGAGAGCGACGGATCATGGTAGTGCGTTAACAAACCTATCCTGCACCAGCAAACAAAAGAAAATGGTACATACAGAAAGCCAACCCACATACATTGCATTGCTTGATTATCTAAATAAACTCAAAGCATTGAATCTACAAGTGCGATCAGTAACAACCTCTTGCTTCTTAAGCGACAAGTAGAATTGCGGCGCGCGCGGTTGCGTAGGGACGTCGCGCACGGTGGCGTCGGAGACGTGTAGCGGTGCAGGGAGTCGTGCCTATCGCCGGGATCCTCGTGCGGGGAGAGAGAGTCCGCGAGACCGGGTCCACTGTGCGGGCGAGCGATGGGAGCGTGGGAAGGGCCGGGTGGGCGAGCGAAGGAGCGCCGGTGGGCCCGACACGGAGGGAATCGTGGGAGCGCCCGACGGTAATCGTCGCAGGTGAGTTTCGTGTGCCTTACTATTGGTTTGCAAATTTTTTAGCTAAGAGATAGAGATTGACAGAAGGTTCAAAAAAAAAAAAAGAGAAAGAAAAGTGAGAGAAACATAAAAAGAAAGTCTTTGTACCGATGATTTCGCTAAAAAAAGGCGTGTACAAAGGCCCAGATAGGCTCGTGACTTCTGTGAGCTCGTTACCCGGACCAACCCAGGCTCCACCACATCTACAGCGAGCTGGCGACACTAGTCCCGCCGGGCCAGGACTGTACTCGGCCACGTCTCGCTGCGTCTCTGGCTCTCTGCCGCCTGCTCTCGTCCTCTTCCCTCCTCCTCCCTCCATTAAAGTACTCGAGCCCACAACCCCCAGCCCCCCAACCTCCCATGGTCCCATCC